AATATTTTGTTGAATATTTTTTTTTTTTTTTTTTGAAAAAGTATAAATAAATAATTTTATTATTTTATAGGGTAAACCAAGAGGTGGAGGATTTTTTAAACAAGCTAAAAAATCTTATCCTATGTTTCCAATGAGAGAAGAAAAAATTAAATGGGATGATTATGGAGAGATAATAAGGTATGTGTAAAGTATAAGGTTTAATATAAATGTAATGGCTGTGCATTGATCTAAAAATGTAAATGTTTGTATGAGTGAATAATTTTTTACTGTTCAAAATACAGTAAAGCATCAGTTATCCAAAACAATTGAGCAGGACACTTTTAGATATCCTATCACATGTGTTAGGTGAAGAATAAAAAGATTAGTTTAAAATATAAAAACATATAATATTGAAGACTTGCACTAAAAACTCATTTGAAGTCTTTTAAACAGCCATTCACAATCACTGAAACACAATCAATATTGGCAAAATAAAAAATATTAAGTCATAGAAATTTAATACAGACAAATGATTAGAAATAATAAAAAGAAAAAAAAAACCTGTATTAAAAACAAGCACTTGCCTTTCATTGGGCTACAATTTTTTCTATAAATTCCCACTGTCCATACATCTGTCCTTCCTTAATCTCGAGAATGGAGTTAGATAGATGAAAGATGAGACCAGATGCAGAACCCTAGAGGCAGAAGTCCCCAACTAACTGTATGTAAACTTCTGCTGCAAACCGGAAGTCATATTCAATTCAAAAATTTTCCCTCGAAAGGTATTGGATAGATGACCGGCATGACTCTATTGTTAAAGGAAAAGTATGATGTACAGGGACAAGACACAACTAATTTGAGATGGAGAGAATATATTTTAAATTAAATAAATTAAAAATTGCAGCCTGGCATTGTGACAATGTCACAATTAATAACTGTTTGTTACAATCTACAATGCACTGATAAAACTTTAAATTTAAAATAAAAACATAATGGCGAAATTAATAATAATGAAATAGCTTAATAGTGGGCATATAGAAAATCACCGACAAGTGCTATGTAAAAACATAATTCTTGGAATTAGTACTCTCTGAAGTCAATTTTGGTTAGTTGATTTTTGGATAATCAACACATTACTGTGCTATTATTATTTAAGCTTTATGTTACTTGTTTTCTGTTCTGTTTAATCTTTGTACACATATCTCTCATACAACATGGTTTGAAAATTGGGGATATCCCCCAAACAACATGACTTCCAGTTTCATTCTAACACTGTTTTGAAAATCCTCCATACAAAATTTCAAAATTTTTAAGTGTAAACTTCATTATTTTATATTTGTTTTCATTCAAGTAAGCATGCGTGTTGTCTCAGATTTGCCCATGGATTTTAGAATATTGAAATTGTCAAATTATTTTGTGCTTTTCATCAAGTTTACTTTAATGAAAACTGATAAGACAAGAAAGAAAAAATTGCACTAACTTTTCTATGAACTGGATGTCATTGTTGTTGCTTTCAGATTTTAGCCCTTAAGACTCACTGTGTTCTTTTTTTATAGATTAATTTTTGTATTTAGTAAAGCTTATTTAAACATTTTTAAGTAAGTGTTGTTAAACTTTTTTAAACCATAGGTGTTACTTACCTGTGAATGATTACTTCATTCATAAAAATAATGAACAAAATACAGCAGTATTTCATTATTCGACTGAACAAATGTGGCCCACTGGAACAAATTTTTGATTAATAACATATTTTTATTTTGTCATCCATTAAAATTTTTTTGATAAAAATAAAAAATATGAAAATGTTGCTGATACTTCTGATCAAGATCAACAAAAAAAAGCTATGATGCCTTATGATGCCATATACTTTATAAGAATATGCCCTTTTTTAACTAAATTGATATTAATGCATACTACAGTACTTTTAATTGTGATTGTTAATTAATTATTGATTGGAAATAAATTAACAATTACTTTAATAAACATATTTCTCTTAGTAAGGAAAAAGAATAGTTTACTTTTGCTAACTTCTGGAACATAATGTATGTTTTGCATTAGTCCTTTGTTTCATATAAAACAGATTCACATAACACAGCACTTTTTCGGAACATAACTACCATGTTATATGAGGGATACTTATATTTGCAAATAAATATATATAAAATAGTTAATTAGAAAAGATTGATAAGGTATGCAATAAAGTATGCAATAGCTAGATAACTTAACACTCAAAAGATGTATTATGCTTCTCATAGGTAAAAACATATTGATCAGTTAAAGTTAAAATATGGAAGAATCACAATAATTTAGTGATCATTCAGTTTAAACTTTCATGATATTAATGAAGAGTTGACATAATAACTTCTAAAAAAGCAACTCATAAACTTAACACAGTAATGATCATGTAATTAATATCTGATCCTGACGTTCTATCAGGTGAGAAACAGACTTCCACTTTGACGATAAGGAAAACTTTTTAAGAACAATTTTATACTAATCTAGAGGAGATGGAATCAATATGGTTAAAAAGTAATCCTGGAAAATTTATTTATTCTAAGTAATTAGAGAGCGAATTCATATTTTAATGAAGCAATCACATTTGGGTTATACACTGAACTTTAAGCATGCAAATTTTTAGGTTTGTTAAAATTTATAAAATACAAATTGACTGTTAAGATACTGGTCAAAAAATTATCCCAGTCTTAATATTTAAGCCTGAATGTTATTTGTAGTTACATTTAATTTGAGATTTTTTCTTAAATCGTAATTTTTGTGAAAGTAATGTACAATAGAACCTTGATTATCCAAGATTCCATATTATGAAACCTTACCTGTAAATGAATACACTACATTTCTTATACTGTAATTCATAAAATAAAATTTAAAACTATAACACATATTCCAAAATGATCTGTTTTTGTTACCTTTTATCATTTAACTTTATTGTGAGACAAATTATTCACATTTAAACTTAACTATAATAATACAATTTTTTACTTTTTCAACTGTTATAGTATTAGTTATATAATAAATGATGTGAACAAAATTGTTATTATATATGATTAAATTCACTAAGGTATAGAACGCAACAGTGTAGACCATGTAAACTCGTCTACGTTATAACTTCCAATGTTTTATTCAATAGTTACTCAAACTTCAATGAATGTAAAGCAATTTTAATGTATAAAGGAAGTAGTGAAGGTAGTTTCTGCGATAAAATACTTTGTTTTTGAAATGATGTGCGAGAACATCTATTTTTAGAAATTTTACAAACTGTTGTCAAATTAGAACTGTTTGGAAATCACGATAAAGCTGATACCGATTTTATTAATTTATAGTTTGTATCTTTGAGAAACATTTATTTAAAAAGTCTTCAACAGCTGGTATAAAATCAATATGGTAATTTTCTGCTCATTCTACAAAACTGAAGTTGATATTGTGATGAATAGATGAATCATATTACATGTAAATTTTGAAAAATTAAAACTGTATTGAAAGTAGCAAATTTCAAAATTATACTTATTATCTTAACATTATTTCTACTGAACATTGTATATTGTATGATTGTATATTATATATTAAAAATTGAAAAGCATTATATTTTCAAAAAATAAACAAGAAAGAGAAAAGACACTTGTGATTATTTATACAAATTCAGCATAAAATTTGTCAGTAACTCAAGTATAATCTTTGACTTTGTTTAGTTATTTTCTTAAATATAAATACAATTCCAGTTAATTGGTTTTCATTTTATATAGTTAAAAAATCAAAATACCTCTCTAATTTATTATAGTTTCTTAACTATCTTGTTAAATTGTAGCTATAATTGAAACTAATGATGGAAATGCGTTATATACAAAATTTACATGAAACATTGACAAAATACCATATTCTGTATGGTCCTAATTTAATGAAATTAGTTTCTACATGGTCATTATTAATGTCTCCACAGAACTCAAATCAATCAGCTGTTTCATAGAGTATACACATTCAAGCATTTCAGGTGATATATTTTGAATAGCGACGGTAACACAGTTTTAAAGATCAGCTTGATTTCTTCTGCAGTATATCCCATTCTTAAGAATTCTCAGGTAAAATGATCTAAGAGTGTTAAATCAGGTAAACATATTGCCAATGATTGAGCTTCTCCAAAGCCAATTCAACAACCAGAAAAATGGATATTGAGCTAATCTCAAAGAATCATTGCATATTGGCATGGTGCTCCATCCTGTTGAAAAATTACCATGTCAGAAATACCATTTTAAAGTTGAAGTTTAAGGAATTGTTCAAGCTAATCAAGTTACATGGGTTCTTGAAATTGTAATCTCCGAAAACGAGAAATTTCCGTAAACTTCGACGTACTCAAAAACCACATATACGGGCTACAAACCTTTTTAAAATATCTAATTTTAACATAATAGATAGTCACTTTTGAAACACTCTGAATATTATGTGATAATTTAGCTTTGCTTATATGTCATTTAGTAACTTATATACTTACGCTTGATATTTTATCAGTCTAAAATTATCTTTTACCTGACTACTAAAATTTTAAATTATGTTTAGGGCTGAAGACTTTATGATAGTTGAACCAAATCCTGCAGAAGAAGAACCCAAGGATGTTAAAGAAGAAGCAGATGAAACTATGCAAGGTCAGTTTTTTTATATATAAAGGAGGTTCGTGTGTCATATCTCGAGTAGGAACAGACTCGTTATTAGCATTTACAGTTTTTCCCTACCCTCAAAATTAATCTTTTTGCCATTTTATAATAAAGAAAAGTATGAAAAGTTTTTTGATAAAATATCATAATAAATGGCTTCACCAAAATTTTAAATTTTGCTGGGAAAGTTAAGCGACTCATTGCTGGATTTTTTAAATTGAACTTTAACATACAAACTGAAATTTTACTTTGCAAAAACAATTTACATTTGATGTAACTTATAAGTGAATTTGAATAAATACTATACTTAAAATGTTTGATATGCTATTATAATTTTAAATGTTAAAAGAGAAAAGAATTTTTAATAAATCCTGATAGGCATGTGTATATACATATATAAAAGTTTTTAAAAAGTTTAAGCATTCCTTAAGTTTTAAATTTACATTTATATAAACGTTATAATTTCAACTTCGCTTGGCTATTACCAAGCCGCCACTTTCCTATAGGATCAAGACTGCACAAAAGTTCTGAGTTTGAGTTCTTCTTAAGATTGATTGTTTTCTTTCAGAAATTTCTAATGTTATGTTTTTAAATAGCCTTTTCCTCAACGATTCTGAAATAAAGTTGAAAAAGACTTCAAATATATTTACTTATAAATTATTTTATTACGTTAAAATTTTTATGATATTACAAATTTCAATATGAAATGCAAAATTTAATTATTATTTTATATCTAAAATTATTTTTCAGACATTACTGAAGTGCCTACAAAATGTATTTCAACAACAAAAATTCTTGACATAAATGCATCTGTACAATTCATTGATTTCGAAGGTCGATCAGATAGCGAATCCATAAAAAAAATCATCTCTCTTATAAAACCAAGGAGGCTGATTTTGATTCGAGGTACAGAAGATAGCATTGATGCCCTGAAAGTTTACTGCCGCACAACGGGTGCAGTTCAGGGTAAAATTTTTTCTCCAAAATTGTATGAAATTGTTGATGCAACTACAGAAAGTCACATTTATCAGGTAATTAATTTATTGGATATGCAGTAAAACCTGATAAAGCAGGAACTTGGCGGGACTATTTGTTTTTCTGCGTCTCATATGTTTTCTACCATAACAGGATATAGTCTTACCGTTTTTCTGTTACTCTCTATTGCCTATACAAAAGCCCTAAAAATAGGTGGACGAAAATATGAGTTTTTTTATGATTCGTGTATTTTTATTCAAATTGCATTTGTTGCATATGTCTGTGTATATTGTAAAGAGTTTATACAAGAAGTCTTCATTAATTCGAACTTTGATGGTTCAAAATTCCATTAGTTTGTAACTGTACTTTTGTCCCAGCCGAGGATATAGAGATTTGTATGTTAGGGAATTCAGTTAGTTCAAAATATGGCTACTTTGAAATTTGATGTGAAAATACTGTCCGAACTGTGATAAGAGTATGTTAACTCGTTCATTTAGATTAAATTGCTTCCATACTATAAGAAAACAGTAGACCAAGAACAACTCTAATCTGTTCAATATGACTTTGCTTTTACAATAGTGAATTTTTGGGTATCACCTTACCCATTAACTACCCTTTTTCTCCTATCATAAAATACAGCTGGATTTCAGGGTTGGAAGATTGGACTAGAAGTAATAAATATTGTAGCCTAGAGACCTACAAATATCTCTATTTGGGTGACTTGCTACTTTTTGGGCTACTATAAAAATAATTCGGGCTACATTTTGAGAATTCTGCTTTACTTTCTTTAAAACCTATTTGGCAACCTGTGAGGTTCTCACCAGACACGTGTTGTTTACCTGAAGTTTGTTTATATTATTATTAATTAACAAAAATAGTGTACTATATATGTAGACATAGTCCATTTGCTTAATAAATTACATCAATTACATGGCATTTGTCATATTGTACAGTAATATGTAAATCTCAGGTAATTCAAAGTTGCGATTATTTCGTCCCTTGAATTTCGAACTAACGAGGAATTTCTGTATACAAAGTAAGTGGGAATAGCTCATTTTTTAATAAAACAATCTAATGTTGTTTTCTTAGCCGTCTTTAGTTTTTTAATAGTTGTCTTTACTATCATCATCACCTTTAATTTGAGTCCACCATTTTGTAAAGGTTTATGTCATCAATTTCTATGGAAAAATACACAAGCACAAAAATCAAAGCTTAAAACGACAGTGCAAAAGAAAATGGACGACAGCTCTTCGGCAAGCTTTGATACTCCCTCCAACAAAAATTAATTTATTTCCTGACAAATGCTACGGCATCGATGTGGAAATACAGAACATGTAGACACAAAAGCTGGTTTTCAATAGCAATTTTTACCATTTCATCCATTTCACAAATTCCAGCTATCAGGGAACATTTGTTAGGTTAATTCAATCGTTTTACTGAAAAATATTTTGACTTTCCACCTCTGGAAGGTTTTTAACTTACTCAGGTTCTAACTTTAGCAGGTTTTACTGTATTAGTTATGCAATATTTGTAGTATAGTTGTATTTGTTTTTAGCTCCATATTAGTTTAGCACCTTGTACAGCCATAAGAAAAATGCCATTGATCTCAGAAAATGATTTGTTTTTACTATTTAACTTATCATTTAAAATTACAGATTTAAAATTATAGATAAGTTTTAATTCATCTGATTTACTTTTCAAGATATATATATATATATATTTTTATGTATTTTAAATTTTAGTTTTTATATAAAATATTTGATACATATTATAGGTTAAACTAAAAGATTCTCTTGTGAGTTCAATTGAATTTGCCCGAGCAAAGGATGCAGAATTGGCTTGGATAGATGGTGAAATAATGATGCAAGAATTAGAGAAAGTAGTAGAAAAAGATATCGAGATTAAAGAAGCTGACGGTATAATATTTTTGATTTCATAACAGAAATTTTCAAAGTGATTTATTTGTAATAATTAAATTTAAATAATTCTGATATTATCATTTTTAGAAATTGAATCAAACCAAGAATTAATTCCAACACTTCAATCTCTACCACAGAGTTTGGTAAGTTTAGTATTTCAGTATTTAAGTAGTCTGAATTTTAATTCTTGATAATTTTTATTTATAAATATTATAGATGTTTATAATATAAATTACTTTAAAATAATAATGTTTCAACAATTATAAAAAAGACAAAAACAATTGCTTCCTACAGTATTAAAAATTCACAAGTAAAAATTCCTGGTTAGTAGTACAGTGGGTGATCGGTTAACGAACAAATTGGATAACAAACACTTTCACGAAAGATTTTTATGATCGGACAATGAACATATGTTCGGATAACAAACACTTCACTGAACAAACACAAGAAGCGATGTAAAATAACAAATACCAATTGGTCTTCCTTTGTCTTCAGGCAACAATTCGAAACTTTTCGGAGCGCGGGAGACATCGACGTTCTACCCAGTATATACTAATCGAATAGTATTCCCCCAAACTTTGAAACTCTCCCTTGTAATTCCAGCCTTTTGTATTTCTGACAGAAACAATTCTTTTACGTTTTCTTCTGAAAATGCGGATTTATGCCGATATCTGCTATTAAAGATCTTTTGAAGAAGTAGGAAGATGTCAGAACAACGGTCTTAAAATGGCATCCAAACCAAGTTGAGGTTAATAGGCCTAGGGATCTCTACAATTACAATGCTATTAATTACTTCTGAAAAATCATGAAGAAGACAGAAAAGCAATCGACATTGGACAGATTCTTTAACCACCACAAACAAAAAAAAACATGACTAATAAAAATGCAAGACCGTGTATATATGTATTTTTATTATTACATATGAATAAACGTAGTAAAAAAGTATATACTTTTTTTATTTTTGGGGTCTCCAGAACGAATTAATCAAATTCCCATAGAAACCTATGGTAAATCGATAATCGGTTAACGAACAATTCGGATAGCGAACAAAGTCTTGGAACGGATTATGTTCGTTAACCGATCACCCACTGTATTTGTAATTTTTTCAATGAAACTGTAGCTGAGCTGTAGTGATGTTTTCTTGTTCTCAGATTACAACTGCTAGGAAATTGTTGGTTAAAAAGAATTTTACTAATTGAGAATATTATTAAATTTGATGATAGGGAAGCTGTGTTTTCATAAAAATTTTAAACAAATACTGGAAATGACAAAAATAAACAGTTTATTTATTTTAATTCTAAAATATATACTGTAACTGACACAAAACAAAGCTATAAAAACTTGTTTTTATTATTTTTTTATAAACTAACTCTATTCGGCAATTTTTTTTCGCAAAGTGGTTAATTACTTTATCATAAAAATCGCTTATCGTTGATTCCATCGAAGTATTTAAAAGCTCTTTTTCTATTGAAAGCAACACTAGTGACAACAATCTTTCCTCCGACTGAGTGTTCCTTGCAAATATATGAATTCACTTCATGGTTGAAAAACTGCACTCGACGGATGCACTGGTGGATTGTATTGTAAAAATTAATGATATTAGATCATAAAATTCTTTTAGTACATCTTTGTTCAGATCGTCATTAATTATAATATTTTTTATGTCTAAGAGTGACTTGCCAATATAGTCTGGACATGAATATAAGTATTGCAATTCACTACGTTATTTAGATAAATCAAAAAATCTCCCATAAAATTTACTTAAAGAATTAAAACTCTCTTTGGAAAATTGTTTTTCATAATAATTAAAATTATTAACATCTAAAAGTGATAAAAATTCTAAAGATTTTATGTCTGAAAATCTGTCAATATAATTATAATTAAATATAGCTTTGTAAAGAAACGTAAATAAAAATAACATTGAATATTCTTTACTTTTTAAAACTTAAAACAATCCACTTAGTCAAATAGCTCCCTACAAGTGGCTAATGGATGGAATCATTGGAAGCATTATACAATATTTTGGTGTGTAGCATCCACGAGCTAAACCACATGAGATTGGTGCTCTGTAAAGCGCATGCACGAATGTGTGTAATCTGGCTGCTTTACACAATTCAGATATTTTTGGCATGGAAGCTGTCCCATATTCGACAGTACAGCGCTTCCATTGGAAATATGCATCTACGAATTTATATTAAAATATACAATGGCAATATTATTGTTTTTCACGTGTATAGAAATTTGTAATAAAATACATAATGCAGTTATAATAAAATATTAATTTTAAGTAATTCAAAGTACATTAAAATATGAAAATAATTGCACAATATGTATTAATATTTTAGAAATAAAAGGGAAGCGGTGATTCCACAGCTTCCATGGACAGCACACTACTAGTTTATAAATAACCTTATTTAACAGTTGTTAATGATTGATTATCCTGAAACTGTGTCTTCTTTTATTTGTTTTTTTCTGTCACAACTACATATTTCGGCCCACAAGATATTCCTGAATAAAGAGTGATGTTAAAGATGCCCGGTATCTATTTACGCACCTATTGTGACAGAAAAAAAACAAAGTTGTTTAATTATCACAGTAACCAGAATGAACTTAGTTAAATCATTTTGTGTTGCACAGTACAATAACCACATTTGCAATTGAGCGAAATAAACATTAATTAAAATACAAAATGAGTTTAAAGTACTTAATCTACAATGTTACATGCATTTATTGAAATCATAATACTGATTAAAATGGCATTCAAATTTCCAGATAGCAAAATTATATTTCTGAAGTTACAGAAAATTAATGGTGGCACATCTGTTTTTGTTTGAGATCTCTGTTCAATAAGAAAACTTGATTACTTATAAACAATTTTGTTTAATTTAAATTTGTAATAAACTTGTTTAATTTAAATGGCTTCATGATGTTTTAAACTAATTCGGCTGAACCAGTTCTGTTCACACTACAAAAAAAAAAACCATCTTATTTTTGCACCACTATAACACAAGACTCCATTGCATAAGGAAATGGTGAAGACATTCATGAACCTGAAGTCATAGCTTCTATATTTTCTTAATAGTCCTATTCTGGTAGCACCAGATTTCTGGCTGTTTCCACAATTAAAGATGTTGAAGGATCAGCTCTAATTGGATTCTGAAGTTGCTGTATGAGAATGAATTATAATCCTTCAGTTTTTTGTGTGCGGGATGCAAAAAATGGATTAAATGCTTGGAAAAATGTGTCACTCGAAACAGAGATCATGTTGAAAAAAGAACATTTATGACTAAAATAAATGAAGAATAATTTAACTAATAATAATATTTTATATTCCTTAGGTTCCAGGTCATACAACCATATTTGTTAATGAATTAAAGCTATCAGATTTCAAACAAGTCTTACTTAGAGCTGGAATACATGCAGAATTTTCTGGAGGTGTTCTCTACTGTAACAATACAGTTGCAGTTCGAAGGGTAAGTTTCTATATTATATTAAAATTTAATAAAGACATTCTACTTAAATATTTTCAGCAGTACAACTGTATAATTAAATAATTTAGTCATAATTTAAGAACTGTATTACAGTGCAGCTTTGGCTTGCAAATAGTCAGACCGTTAAATAATTGTAGAAGTAAATATTTCAGTTTGGTTATCAGAAAATATTGGTAAATTTACACAATATTAAAATATAAAATTACTTTCTTTTTTTTCTGTAGAATGAAACTGGAAGAATTAACCTGGAAGGTTGTCTTAGCGAAGATTACTACAAAGTACGAGAGTTGTTATATAGCCAATATGCAATTATTTGATGTGAAGTTTATATAAAATATCATCTGTGTATGTCATCATCATCATGCAGTGTAACTGTGAATGAAATATATATATATTATATATATATTTGAATGTGAATAAATGTGATTAGAATGGTTTACTTTATTTTAAGATATTTCAAATTTTCGACAAAACTAATTAAAATATTCTGTTGAAATTAGGACACACTTTGAGTACTGTAAAGAAAGGCCATTCATATCGGAATCTGAGCCGACGTCATCCATTTTGAACCTCTTGTAATCAACGGAATAAATTTTAACCATTCCAAAGATTTACACTCATGCAAGGTGTTGAATGTAATTGTCAGGATTAAGATGCATTTAACATTGAGATTAAAACTCACGTAACTACTCCTTTAATGGTTAATTAAACTCGTTGCTATAAAAATTAGCGCACCAAGAAGTTGTTGGAATCAAACAAAATTGTACATGTATGAGTGTAACAGTGAAATAAGTAAGTGATTACAAAATGAAAGCAAAAGGATCTTGCAGAAAAAACTATAAATGAAGGGAGTTCTAATACCCTGTTGGGTCACCTCTAGCATGAATACACAATGCAATAAGGGTGAGCATAGAGGCATACAGGTTCTGTATGGTGTCCTGTGGCATCTCAGTCCACAGTTACTGCAAGCAGTTCTCTAGTTTAGCCAAATTCCTAGGCTGTCCAGCTTTGTGTTCCCAGGTGATACCAGAAATGTTCAATTGGTGACAGTTAAAGGAAGTGTGGCAATGTGGTGGAGGCAGTCCTGTGATACCTTTGCTGTATGTGGTCAAGCATTGTCCTGTTGGAAAATGGCTTTTGCACACGAATGGCAGCCATGATACAAAATGTTCCTCACCCAAGCAACTAAAAATGGTTTAGACAGCACCAAGCCTGTAATGACGGTGCCACCTGTGTCTGGATGGTGGACAGTGATACAGTTTGGCTGTGTGCGTGCGTGCATGCTTGTTGGAGGACCAGTGGTCTGCCGAGGGTATCCTAAGCCTGGGTGCCATGTGTCTCGAGCTCTCACTCGTTCACTAGCTTCAACACTACCTCACAGTGTTGTCAGAACAGCCTAGATGGCAGGCTATTCAGCTAGATGATCATCTGGCTTCTCTAAACCTGATGATCCTTCCCCTCGCAAACTTGATTAGTTGTTCATATGGCCTTCAATTGTGACATAAAGGCATCTCTAGTGATACAGTATCTCTGCAACAGGTAAACTAGACAGAATCCCTTTGTGCGTTTTTTTTATACCAAGGGGGATATACTTTAATACTCTGCTGGCATTACACAATGAGCCATCAAACTATAATAATTTCCATATCTGTTTTAGACTTATCTGCATGCCAAGTTTTGCAGCCATACGACTTCTTGGTGTGCTAATTTTTATGGCAATGAGTGTATTTGTTCAAAAATAAATCCATGTAATGGTCACTGTCCGAAGTCACAGAACAAACACACAGATTCGTATCTAGATATGTCAAAGTAGCAAAACCCTATGCCAAGCAATTAGAAGGATCTTTTCTTCCTTTCATGCGTTTTTCTCAATGTTCGATCCAGAAGCAAACCTTGAAGCGATTTTTTAATTCGTGTAATGAAATTAACAATATATAAAAGTTAATTATAAAAATGTGGCTTTAATAATTAGTTTAAAAAGTATTGATAAAAATATAAATATAAGAAATAACGTTATTGCTAGCAATAACCATAAGAGAGCAATCTCCCCCTTATTCCTCTTCAGTAACTGCAGTAGAATTTCCATTCTGGGAAGGCAGAACATTGCTTTTTTAGTGGTGTGTGTTAACTGCAACACACATCATTAAAAACACTAGTGCTTAAAATTAACTACCGATCTTCAGTAACCCCTTATTTCACCAATAGACGATTAGGAAGAAAACAAGAAAGTAAAATTACGTCGCCTCAGCCGCGGGTTTGCTCGTGACTTACAAACGCTCTGAAAGAACCGTTGTGTTATACATGTGTGTGACGAAACAAAACACCACTTGTCGCCCTATAATACAAGAAATTAATATCACCTCTGGCAGTTACTGATTAGTTTACGTTTCTATGCTATATAAAACTTTTACCACGAAATGGAAGGCCTGTATTAGCGAGATTGCGGCCGAAGTTTTCATCTGTAAAACGCGAACGTCGAGCGCCACTTATAAGAGGCGGCGCTCGACGTTCGACGTTCACGTTTAACAGATGAAAACTTCGGCCGCAACCTCGCTATTTATTTGCTTACGACAATGCGACACATGCCGAGAGGGTTGCCTCCCGGAGGCACTTTCTAATGAAAACTGGCCTCTATTTAGGTGTTACTAACATGAAAACCGGAGAATTCCACGTTGGCGTAGTTCGAGTTTACAGAATGTGAAACCTGACAAACATCGAAATCAAGAATAAATTGGATAATTAAAACTTTGAGGATCCGTAAGATATTCTGTTTCTCGAAAATAAAGTGAAAGACGGGGTCCGAACGTACCATACCTGTGGTTTTTCGATAGGTCCAATTCAATTTCGGGTCCCAGAGCAGTAGGATTCCACCTTAAGATGAAAGTAATCCTGTTTCTAATGAATATTATTTTAATAAAATGATCTTTTCTGAAATATTTCAAACCGATTAATGTTTTTACGTAACACGTGACGTAAAAATATGAAGGAATCGTAATACGTCACGCGTTCTAAACAATATATTCTAACAATACGTAACGAATTGTTAGAATGTATTGTCGGCTTCTATTGTAGGTGGTTATATTGTTAAGCGTAAATTCGTTCGAAAGTTCCGCGTTTCTTTGAGATATCGCGAAAAAATTGCGATTAAGTAAACTTTGGTAATGTACGGGGGTCCAGAAAGGGCTCTCTGTGTCGCCTTTCTCTTAGGCCCGCTCGAGTAAAGAGATGGAATCTCCCGTCGGCCTTTTTACTCGAGTTACTATGTACTCAAACTAACTCTTTGTGTCCCGCATTTTTAAGGCCCGCTCGGAAGAAGACAACAGGAGATTTAACCGGAGGTGGAGAAGGCCCCCTATGCCCCACATCTTTAATGCCCGCTCGGACGATGACAACAGGAGATTTGACCGGAGGAGGAGAAGGCTCCCTGTGTCCCGCATCTTTAAGGCCCGCTCGGACGATGACAACAGGAGATTTGGCCGAGGCGGAGAAGGTTCCCTGTGTCCCACATCTTTAATGCCCGCTCGGACGATGACAACAGGAGATTTGACCGGAGGAGGAGAAGGCTCCCTGTGTCCCGCATCTTTAAGGCCCGCTCGGACGATGACAACAGGAGATTT